CGTCCCTCTCGTCACGCCGCTCTCACCGCCGCACTTTGAAAAACAAAATCGAACCTCACCCGATGTATTATCGCTTGGACCCGGAGAGGTTTATCGGTGTTATCGACCCGCTGCTGCTTCCGGTTGAGGAAATATTTCAAAAGCTCAAGTTTCTCGATTCTGAAACGCTCGTCATAGTCGTCTCCTTGATAATCCTCGTCGCATCGCTTACTCGCAAGCTCCCTTATGCATCGCATCGCTTCGTTCAAGTAGCCGTTGGAGCGACTAGACGCGCCCAAGTCCTTGTAGCAGTCCGAGTGCAGCAGCAGAACGTCCACTCTGCTCTCCTCCATAAAGGCCTGGTCCTGGACGCGCGAGATCACCTCCTCGAAGTACTGGCAGTCTTTGGCACAGCGCATCAAGTGACCTTGGCGATACGAGGCTCGAGCCCGTTGCACAAGAATCTCGAAGAAGAGTTGACTGCGCGAGGGCGCCAATGCGAGCGCCTCCGTTAAAATAGCCGCTGCTTTATCTGGATGGGCGACCTCGCCCGCGACAGTGGCCTCTCGACGGAGCTCCTTGGATCGCGCCTCGTTCTTGCCGCGATACATGTCGCCGATGGAGATGTCGGGGTCTCCCAAAGCCTCGAGTGAAATCCTTATCATTCCGGGCCTGTCGCCGCTACGTGAAAGCGCCTCGAAGCGATCACGAAATTCGTCGCTGGAAATGACTCGCTGGGCGTGCCGCTCGAATTCGGGAAAGAATCTAAAATTCATGTAGTTCTTCTTAGTATTTGGGATACTTAAGCGAAGATGTGGCGATAACTCTCTAGGTATTGCGAGAGATAATGATGCAACGACTAATAATAGGCTAAAAATGAATTGTTCGTAGCGTTGACTGACCAGTTGACGAGATGATTATTTGCACTTTAAAAAACTCGACCAACGGATTGATTTTTCCTCCTACTCCTCTTAGACTAATGACCTCTAAATGTAAGCGTCGCGATCATTAGGAGAGGCAATAGGAGAATTTTTAATTATGCCTATGCGTGGATTCTAGCATAAATTCTGCTTTATACGAAAACAGGCGAATTCGCACGCACTTAGGTGCATCTACGTGTCAAATAGCAGAGATTTACTCGATCGCCGATCTCGGCTTTCGGCGCTCACGTGCTTTCAAGCATTTCTTAAACAACTGCAAAGATATTTTATAATACGATTTCACAATTACCGATTAAATCTTTTGAGCCCTTAATCTAAAGCCCGCTGCTACTAAAAGCTAAATTAATGAAATGTCGAATTTACCGTTGAATATATTAGAATATTTATCGATTACATGACTTTACAATTGAATCACTCATTTAGCGTATTGCGCAATTGCTTAATTAAGTTACTAACGAAAATTCGGGCCCACTTTCTATCATTATCTTACGAAAAATCACAATAATTTCACTATCAACACTCAATTCTTAGTCAATCTTCCTCATTTACTTTATCTATCATGAAAACATAGACTTTCTTCTCTACAATTTTTTGACGCTTTTATTTTGTTTTTGCTTGTTTTTTAATTTGTTTTGTTTTTTGCCATTCGATCATCGATTATTACAAGTGTATATAAAGCAATGAGTTTATCTACGTTTACCTATGCTCTGATCTCTAATTAAAGATCCTTCCTATTCTCCATATTACGTGGCTTTTATAAAATAATTCACATCATTCATCGATAGAAATTCACTCGTAACGACAATAGAATGGAATTTTTAAAAATAAAAGCAAAAAAAAAAGAAGAGTTAAACTATTTTACAGCTAGATGCACATGCGTTTGTGGCTGTAGCCAATTTTAGATAGCAAAGCACCAACAAATTTCAATAAATAGTTCGATGCGATAAATGCACCAGTTAATGCAAGATATTTTTGTTATGCGCATGTACGTTGCGAATATTGCGATATATAAATATACAGACGTGACACAAATCAATAAAATACGCGAACTAACAAATGAAAATCAATGATCCACCAACGTAAGCACAAATCGTACGCGTTCGTACATCAGCAAATATTATTCATCGAATAGCTAATTCGAAAGGACGTATAATGAGATGTGCTACCAATGCAAAAAAAAAGAAAAGAAAAAAAAAAAGAAAAAATACAGCTTTTATCGACTTGGATCGAAAAGGGATGACGCTAACTATCACAATGCATTGCATTATGTCACCGATCGTGCATGAAGTGCAAATGCTGGTGAAATAGAGATGCAAAGCAATGTAATAAGCCACGTATGTTGTATTGTTTCGTTTTTCTCTCACCCTCGGCTCCTACGCGATGACATGCTGCAGGTTGCGCGTTTCAGCGGGATCTATATCGCGCGCTCGCTCGCCTAGTATAAAAGTAGTCGAGGCAGTTGTTCTATCGAAGGCAACCGTCGTCCAATAATACCTCTAAAATTAGATCCTCGATCCGAAACGTTCTTTCAACTTTTCCCGCGGACGGCTCGATCGCGCACCGTCGCTCGCAATCGCTGCATTGTACTTTCACGGGGCGCCGCTCCACGGTGAATCCTACCCGATGTATTTATTCTTTATTTATTCGGGGCTCCGCGATGTCGGGGAATTCGCCCATGATTATACGTTAGTAACGAGAATTTCGACGGTTCGCACCCCTTGACTCGCACGAGACTTTTAATCATTGATCGTCCAAACGAGCCACTGATACTTGCGACCTGAGCAATGAAAATCATCGTCGGCTGTCCCTTTATCGCGAGCTTCGCTCCTCGTCAACGGCCGCCTCTATTACGTCTACATTAACGTCGATAGTGACTACTTTCTTTAATTGATTCGCGATTCATGGTAATGCTCACATGAGGCGACGGCTAAAATGATTCCTCATTTAAGGATTTTTCCTTGCGATTGTGCAGGGATTGTGTAGGGATAGTTAAGGACAGCCGCGCCAGTGACGATGAGCTACGACGGTGCTCGCATTATTTATTCTCGTAGCCGAGCTTTTATCGAACTTAAATCGAAAACTATCATTACATAAATCTCTCGAGCTGACGTACTGGCCATTGAAATTGGCCATTGAGACTTAGAGCATGAAGAATCGAGAATTAAATATTAATTGTCTTTATTACGTAGAATGAGTTGTGCAATTGTAAATGTAAGCGTAAATTTGACGCATGGGTGACATTCTCGAAGCCAAATGAAATTTATTAGGAAACGAGAAACGTCGTGGTGTAGCGCTTGATACAACGTACATAACGATACAACTGAATTACATTATCATTGAAATGTACGTTGAAACAAAAAATGAAGAAAAAAAAAACAATATTACACGATATGTATTTATATATCAATGTTCAAAATATCTATTAATTCAACATTTTTCCTGATATTAGATTACAAATTGTACAAGGAAAAAGAAAGTGTTCGTTACCCTCTTCCAGCGATTGGAAATAAGATTTAACATAACACTCTTAGTGCATTCGTCAAAACTCGCGCGCACGGAGTAGAAAGCTTTGGTCAAACTGTATGTTTGCTTTGTCGATGTTGAAAATAAAATAAATATTGATATTTAAAACAAGAAAATTATTCAACCGAGTTGCGAATTTCCAGACAAATTAATTACCCTCGTAATGCTAATACTCACAATACATTATAATATACATGTAGGAAACGAGGCTGATTTTGCGAAAACTGTAATTTCATTAATTCCGCAATACTCGGTAAATACATTATTCTGCATAACGTTATAGTTTTATTACTGCCGAGGTGATGAGCTTCCGCGTCGCGTACGAATGTGTAAAAAAGTAGCACTGTAATTCGAAAATCTGCTTTTCATGCATTTCATAATAATGAAAATGCGCGAGATTTCAAAAATATTTGCAAGTATTTTAATATAAAAAGATATTTTGTCGTGTGATAAATGATTTAGTATGCAGCACCTTTAACCCGAGAACGCAAGAAGCGAATTAAATCCGCGTGCTAATGTTCTCTTACTCGATCGTCGATCGAGACAAACTTCCAGTGCATAGAGCCGCCTTATTATACGATAAGGATTTTATCATTTTATTTCATTATCCCAGTACAATCAGGGCTCCTGTATCCTCTCCACTCACCTTACGGACTACTCATTCGTCACAAACTCAACAACAATTCGCTAATTGTGTTTAATTTTTACATCGGGACTTAATAATTATCATCATCAATTTCAACACTTTGATATTGTCGATGGAACTTGTTAGTATTGGTCCGCAATAACGGTTAATCTTAATAATAATCTTAATAGGTCACATCTGGGTTATATAGGCATTTAATTATTTCGTATTATGCTCGCTCCATTTCTACAGAACATTTGCATCCGCGCGATTGTCCAATGGAGCTCTTTCGCAAACTAATCATTGAGTAAACAGGACAAAAGTGAAATACTCGAGACACGATGGCCCCCGCTCAAAAATAAATTCTCAGAGGTAATTTAATGCGGCAAATAATATGTGAAACAAATATTATGCGAGGCAAAATAATTTATGATGAGAATGTTTAATTTATTAAATGAAATTTGAACAAAATAGTTATTTGTATCAAGAAGGCGGATAGTCACGACTATCGATGAAACATTTCACTAATATATTGACCTGTTATTATTGTTGTTATTATTATTATTGTTGTTGTTGTTGTTGTTGTTGTTACTACTACTAATACTATTATTATTATTATTATTATTATTACTATTATTTGAATAATTCCCATTAAAAATAAAATAAAGAAAATAATATCTTCGTATATATTTTTAATTTTTAATAAAATCGTCTATTAGTTATAAAACTAGCGCAGATTTTTTTTTTTTTTATTTCTTCCCTGGCTATATACCACATTCGGTAGAGCGTGCCAATCGATGTAACTAAACGGCGCGTAAAATCGTCACGCTAATGATAAAATCTTCGAATTGATTGGGACTTGCCTTCGCGAGCGAAATTGTTAAATAGAGATTTTTATCAGTGAGATCGATGATTCTAGTGATCGATAGGAATCGGTTAATCAGTAACAGTATGACTATATGTTGTGCGCAAGATCAATAAAAATGTCATTAGGTTCAACTTAAAAAGAATCGGTAGAGAAAACTTATCGCTCCATTAATTGATATTTCATAAAATTGTGAAATAGCAAAAATTTATTAGACATCAGTTGTAATAATTATATGTAATAACTATCGTATTATTTATGCCTTTTGAATTCGCAATACGGAAATTTATTGAGCAAGCAATTTGAAATTAGAAAATTAGAAAACATTTCTAATTTATAAATATAGCTTGATATATATATATATATATATATATATATATATATATATATATATTTCAGATTTTAAATGAATTTAAAAGAAATACATTTAAATAATTTATATAAATGTTTGAAAGTAAGCGAGTGCTTTTCATTGTTTTTTTAGTTAAAAAATATAATGCGGCCGTGACTATCCTTCCTCCGTTATTTCTCTACTTTTGATTAACGACGGTATAACCGTGAAGAAGCTTTACCAGAAAAACCAATAGGTTCGCAGCGATCACAACTTGCCCATCTTTTAAAATTGGGTTAACGGAAAATAAAAGTGGCTCGTTTGAGCTTATTGGCTCATGCAGACGAGAGTTTGAAATCAGTACCAAAGAAAACTGTGTGCATTATATGTTCTTTAACGCAATAGCGAACATTAAGAACAATTTAATTATTACATTAAATTTTAGACATTTCCATCGCTCGGTGTCTTACTGAGACTGCAATACCAATTTTTCTTTGAAATTACGTTAAATGCGTGTTATATAAGTATATCGTGTATATCAATGTATTTGTTCTTATATTTGTAATTGGAATGACATTTGTAAATGAAATTTTATAGGTAGATTTTACTTTGTAATCTAAGAAGTTTGCTAGAGTGAAAAAATAATGTGATCCCTACATTTACACACATTAGATATTATTCGAATTTTGCATCGAATGGGCAAATGGGAGCCAATAATCTAACGAGTCCCATTGCGCATGCCTCAAGTAAACATTATTTACGTTCTCCGTTTGTCAACCGTTAATTTTCCATAATACGTGATGATACAAATGACAATCGAATGAGAGATTTATCGGTTCTTTAAAAATAATGATAATATATCATCTCTGATCTCCGGAAACTGTTGAACGGTATCGCATCGCTTTTGTATATATATATATATATATATATATATATATATCTATCTATATATATATATATATATATATATATATATATATATATGTATATATAGATTTATATTTATATTAATGGAAAAATATGAATTTTGGAGAAAATGAAAGTTTCTTTGAAAGACATAGATATTTATTTCAACATTGTTACTTTCAATTTGAAGGATTGGAACCCGATATTCAACTTAGATTTGAAAATATTATTAAGGTATTCTCATTGCTTCTAATGGTTTTAACAGCCGGTATAATTAAAGACGAATTGTTTCTTGTTGCCGTTGTTGTTTTTTCTTTATGTAGTCAGCATTTAATGTAAATAATTATTTTAAGAGGTTATGAATTTGATTACTATATATTAATTTTATAACTTAAGTAGTAATTTTGTCGAAAAATTACTTACGTTTATGAATATAATTGAAAGTCCATATTTGCAATTATAATTCGAGGAATAATATTTTTATGGTTTATTTTTATGGTATAATGTAATTTCGAATAAAGCATACAAATTATTATTAATATATTTACTACATTTTGTATCATACTGTTATGTGTTCATTTTAGCGATTAAGTGGAGTAATCTGCAAAGATCCAGATTATATTTTAACCCAAAAGTCATATTTTAACAGAGAATGTAATAAGACACGTGAGGATTTATATTCAGTGAATTATATACTTGATTCGATAAGAGCTAAGCAAGCACTTGATATAATCAGTTATAGGTATTCTGTTTTACCTTATACTATCATAATGCAATCAAGTAATTTATTATAAATTAAATTTTTATTCATTCTATGTAAGGTAATAATTTTAATGTTGCACGTTTTAAAAGCATTTTATGTTATTGTTTTTAATTTATTATCGAATATCTTTTAATGATACAAAAAGTTATATTTTATACAATATATGAAATATATGACAAATTAAGTCATTTCTTTTTAAATATTACATATATTTTAATATGATTTAACAAATATTGGATTTAAATTAGTAAAATATTTTTACAGATTTAAACAAGAAAAAGTATACCAATCTATAGATCCTTGCTGCTTATTTTCCAAGTACATTTTGAAAACAGGTTCTTGTAAAAGGTAAACATATGTAACTTAAATTATATAATCGTTTTAATAATAGAAACATAAAAAGGATTATTAAAAACAAAAATAGCATAATCTCATATAGATTGCAATTTTAAATATAAACATTAAAAATATTTTTATATTTGACAGAAAATTTTAAACTTCTTTCTTAGCCTTTATAATCTTTTTAATTCGATTGCCGATGCATGGCTTAACTGTACAAACATAAATTTATAATCATTAATTGACCAATCTCGATTTTAATATTAAGGATTATTCGTAATTAATTAATTAAGTAGTATGGAGAATTCATATGTTACCATTGTAATATCATCGTTGACAATTGAAATATTAGACGAATAGATAAATAACAATATATTACGATATCTTAGAATTTATCAGGGATTGACATAATGCAAAAAGTTACTGTTTGATGCCATAATTGCGCTAGATTAGCCATAATTTTTTTTCACTAAGCTATGTTGTTTGTTCAGTAACATATCAAATTAATTTGTAAAGCTAAATAGCTAAAAGAACTTTTAAGCTTTCTTTAAAGTTATTTTTATTTTATTATCTTTCTACTATACATAATTACGAATTGAAATAATACAAACTAATGCATTAATAAAAAAATTACAATAATTTAACCATCTATATTTAAACTTACAAGTTCTCCTTTATTATTTTGCAAAATTTATATTGGAATAGTAAGATCAACTTGTACATACCGTATACACATGTTCACGAATAGGATTTTACCTGGAGGATGAATAATATTCATGGAATATTTTAATGGGCTTCAACGGCTATTATTTTTATATATCAAATTTCTGTTCTTATTCCATGGTATTAAATATTAATCGTGCAAATAAGCTTTGCTATTTTGTATCTTCTTGAAGTAGATTCACTTAATAATTCTCATTTTTAGAACAAATTTTATGAGTCTTCTTCAATCTTCACGACAATATTTTATTCTAGACTGCAAGTAATAATTCCTGTTGTAACTGTCAAAGTCATTTGAACTCTTTTTTTATATGTTATTTTACAAATTATTAAGCTACGCTTTGTTGGAAGAAATTATTATTTATTGTTTGTCAGTAAAACTTATTTATTGTATCAATAATAATCATTTTTTTCATTAAGAATCATATAGGCTTACCTATAGTTGGAAATACACAAAGAGATTATACATGAAAAATACATTTCGTTGAAATCTCATCATTCATCATTTTTCTTAACTGAAAATTATGTTGATATTTTATAGAATTTTTAATTTCCATAATTGTATGACTTTCATAATTATATAATTCAATTATTCTTTATATAAAATGCATCATGACTTACGATATTATATATGGTTTTAATCTTCATATATTATGATAAAATTGGAATAATTATAAAATCATTAAATCTTAAAATCATTCTTTTTAGGTATTACTATGATAATGTATGTTCATCGGATGTACATAATGATTTGAGTGAATTTGTTTCAATGGCTATAGAAAATGAAGATACCACTTCATCTAGGAGTCCAAATATTTTAAAAGATAATAGAAAACAAAATGAAAATGCTGAGTAAGATATTTTGAATAGTCTTTTGATAAAATATTATAATGTACAAACATGATTTTTTACGTGTTTAAATGAGTATAGATTTATTAGATTATTTCCTTTCTTTAGAACACTGAAAATTCAACTCGTAAATGGAACAAAGACACCAGAAATTACTAAAAAAGTGAGGTAATGTAATTGTTTATATAATTTTGAAATACGAATGTCATTTCAGTTGCTAAATAATGAATAATATTAAAACCATATTTTAGAAAAATTCTTCAATTTGAAAACAATGAACAGCAAATTAAGAAACATAAATCTATAGACAACGATTTTTTTAGCAAAACGTCAATTTCAAAAAGTAATGGTACAAATTCAAAGTTTAAGTAAGATATGATTGACTTTACTTCAACTCTATTTTCATATAATTTTATAGCGTGAATCTATTGTTTTCGTGTTATTTAATTAGTATTATTAATTTTGATTGATTTAATTGTAAGAAACATGCAGTGCGATAAGAGGTTTTAGAATCGTTTATTTATATTAATTATTTTAACATGGCACGTTTCATACGTATTAGTAAAAAGATTTTTAACCGTACACGATCATTTTCTAAATAAAAGGCCTATTATATTGACAATGTATAAAGCCTTTTTGTTACACATAAAATATTTTTATATTCTTCATATTAAATTGGAATTGGAATGCTGTACACTCGCATGGATTTGAATTGTATTTTTAATTTTATTATTACTATTATAGTTATACCTGAGCATTGTGCAGTATTTTTTCATCTTAAACATTAACTCCTAAAAGTTCCTGTAACGACAGTGTTTCTTCTGATTTCTCAATTACGATTAATAATTTAAACTACGTTTATATGTTGTAAAAAAAATTAGAAACTTGAATTTTATGCTAATTAAAAATTTTATTTACAACATAATTATAATTAAATATTTATTATGGACTATATGTTAAGTTAATTTCAATTTATAAATGATTTTTCAGAGAAATTCGAATAAGTGACTGGAAAAAAAAAGTACATACACCTAATAATGATTCATTCTGTAAATCACTGGATTCCAAAAACATTTGTAACTTCTGCAACATGCCTAATAAAACTGTTAGGTAAATATATTACTAATTATTTTATTTTATGTAATTTAACTATTCACTTATCTGTTTTATTATATTTTTTAATATATATGTGTAACGATGAAATAATAATGCAGTAGAAAAAGAGTTTCTCGCAATTCTTTGGATAAGGACTCACCCGTTAAAGATGAAAACAAAAAAATAACTAGGTAAATTGTATAAAACTATGAATTTGTCATTTTTAAATATATATATTATATATATATATATATATATATATATATATATATATATATATATGCGATTGGATGTACGCATGGGAGGGGTTATATGCAACAAAGAGTAGAGACACCTCTTGTATGTAGATGCCTTAAGCAAGTTCCAAGACAGAAGTAAAGTTGTTATATACGAGCAAGCTTCGGCCTTTAACAATTTTACCGAGTTCAGTAAGTATTTCAATTCGATAACAGTTTGATGAGATTATCTTGAAAAAAATGAACGTATGCACCGTAGCTTACAACCCATAAAATGCTAGTGTCATAATAAATAGTGAAAATCACTTATTGATGTGCTGCATTGTTATAACGCTAATCAGCATTTACATGAAATTTTTATCGCCTACACTTACATTTATTAGTGCGATGGGGTCGTATCCAATACTAAACACGTGCACCTCTTCATGCAGTACTGACATTGCAATTATTCTTTGCTTCAAATTAACTCTGCATATTAAAAAGAAAAAATTCCATAATTATGCATGGAATATCGTTAGTGCTAATTTCTGTAAATTTTAATTTTTAATTTTTCAGAAAATTTAGAAAATTATGTCCAAAGTCCACTGATATCAGTATCGTAGATCTGGAGCTAGATGATGAATCGAGTGAAAGTAGCGGAGATTCATTAGGCCTTACTTCCGAAGAAGAAGAAGAAGAAGATGATGATGAAGTAGAAATAGATGAAAATAATATGCAAGTATTTTATTTAAATATTCAATAGATTATTTTTATATTAACTTCCATTATTATACCTTTATTTTCAATAATGATGAAAATTATCAAATAACAAATATTAATGTGGCGTTGAGACAGGGGTGAAATAAATCTGGAATAGGATAATGATTAGGATGAAGATATTGTCGAGAGCTTAGAAAATGAAAGTTAAATCGGTTGCGGGAACATCTGCATAATGACTGCCCTTTACAGATTCCTAGATAATAAACAATTTTTGAAATGTAGGTAAAATGATTGAATATGAAAATAATTGAACGTTATATTGGGTAACATTTTATTTATTATTTATTCAGTAGTTAAATACACGTTTAATAGATATTTAACGTGATAGCACATGAATTCAGCGTTACGATTATATGGTGCAACCAAGCGCAGTTAATTATCGTTTTCTTATATTTAATTTTCTTCGTCACTTTCCGCGCGTGTTTTTATATTGTTCGAAGGCAAGAGCATAAATTGTTAATCTACTATCACCCAACTTATAATAATATAGCGCTACAACAGGATTATACATTTTGCCTATTGGACTTACCTGGAAGGCTGTTTGGCACCGAATCTCTCATTTACGATAAGATACGGAAAATCGAAAAGACACGTCATAATGTACTAATGGCGAACCTTTTAATTCTTTTACGGAAAAACTTCACATTATTCGCATTGTAAAGCACCGCCCAAAGATGCAAGTCTTTAGTCGTTATCCCCATACTATTCCTGTTGAGTTATGTTTACCTTTCCCTCTCCCTATTCCCCATTCCCTGCCCACATCTAATATCAGATTTATAGATTTATATGTATATGTATATATATATATATATATATATAATTTTTAGATATTTCTAATGGTTAAAGAAGTTAAAAAGATAATGAAAAATTAAAAAAGAAAATATAACGTAATACAATTAAAATGTTTTAAAAACTTTTACACTTTATCTTATTTATAAACGAGTACATTATTATTTAAATATTCTGCGTCTTATATATATATATATATATATAATATATATATATATATATATATTAAAAAATTGTTAATATTAATTTCATCAATTTGAGTTAATTGATCATTACACTATATGTTTAATTATAAAGGATTATTTTAATATATCGTAAATATATCATTTATTTCCATGTAGAAATGAATGGTGGAGTTATTTACCTCCAGCAAATAGATTATCTTCAAATGCTAAGGCAGCTAATCGAAATACACGTCGAGGGTAATTGCTTTTATCGATTGGTTTATTTGCTTACTTATTATATTTTCCTTTTCTTTTTTACGCTAACATTTAGAATACTTTACTTTTAGGGCAAATTTTACGGAACGCGAGCAAAAATTAATGCTAAGCTATTTGATTACAAAAAGAAAAGTTGCTGTAGGTGCCAGTAGAATAACATGGAAAGAGATACACGAAGATGGAGTAAGTTTTCACAAACTTTTTATACAAATCCATAAAGGTAATTTGATAAATTATCGGACATTTCTGAAAATGTTTTTCTTTCAGTATTTGAAGAATCGTTCGACAGAATCACTCAGGAATAATTTCCGAAGAGTAATTTTACCAAAGATTCATACGTTTGGATTGCCGCAACACATTCTACAGCAATTTTTAAAATTGAATTAATCAAGTAAAGAATCATGTACAAATGTAAAATATTTTAATTTACTTGCCAAATTTATATAAAGACTATTTTTTTTTTTTTTTTTGTAATACTACATTATACTAAGTAAATTTTTATTTATTAATGTAATTTATCGCATCTGGGCCAATGGTAATGCGCGATGAATTTCGAGTTTCGATATAACGATGGGACTCATAAATTCTTCTTCTTCTTTTTTTCTTTAAACGAAAATTATCGCGCATATCCATTGCGTTAAGTAAGAGTGTATTTTTAGTTAATATAAAAGTTGTTGATTTAAGTAACTTGCAAATTTTAATCTTAATTCGTTTTTAATGCGTGTTATTCTCATGATTACATACATACATACTGCGTTAATAAAAGGAATGTGAGCGAATAATTTATTATTATATAGACAAAGGGCGTGAAAATTTGAAGAAGAAAACGTCGATCGATCGTATTCTGAAGTGGCCAGCGCTTTATTCTACGGATAATCCAATATTATTAAACATAATGAGGCTTAGAAACCTTTACAGATTACGATTTACGGCTTACGTCGCGACGTGTTTTCGCTGAAAACTTGAACAAATCACCATGAATCCATTCTATTTTCACGAAGAAAAAACCATTACTTGCAAAAAAATCACGCTCTCGCTCTCTTTTCAATAGTTGGCGCGTCTCCTTGCCTCTTATTATCATAAAATATCTTATGGTTAACAGTTTTATGGCAGTCGAACGTGCAAATGAAATGACTTTCAGGAGGTTTCGAAGCGACGACGATATCAATCTTCACCTAAACACATTGTCGAATCGTGTGATCGTTTACTCAACCGAATCACTACTTTCACGAGATTGTAATAAAGTATTAAGTATTTTTAAAGTCGACGCGGTTAGTCACAGACATTATTCGCATTGCCCACCGCCAGGCTTTAAGTAAGCCGTCGCCTTTTCCATAACAATTATCATGACAATGATGTTTAATCGCTTCCAATAAGAAACTCGGACGATATTTACCTTTCATCTTTACTTACAACAATTCGGCTTCAATTTTGCTTACTAATGGCGAGTTGAATCAGCTAATTCGCGCGCACTCCAATATCTTCGGCACTTTTGAAACTGAGAGAATCGAGTTTGCAATTGATGAATTTAGGTCGCTTACAACGATTTTTCCTCACCCAATTACTTATGATATCTCTATCGCACCTCCCCCCCTCACCCCTCCCTCCCCCCTCCCACTCCATCGTGATAATTCGACGAACGGCATATACCTCTAATAAATCGGCCCGTCGCCGCTTAATTCTTTCTTGATGCTCGCGTTTTCCCTACGTTAATTCTTAGCTTAATCCTTACAATTGACAGCTCGACCTCGCTTCCCCGCAGGGACAATTTCGCCACGCATTATCACGCATTATCAGGCATTATTCGGCCAGTTAGCGAACATTCCCGGCGCCATTAGCGAGCGAGCCAGCTAATAATTCATTCGCGACCAAGTATCAATCATAATGAAATCAGCCAGGCTACTGCTTCAAAATATAATTGAAATTACGCTGTCCGTGGTAATTATTTATAATATCGGCGACGAAGTGCAGTGCTCGTCGTGTCGATGCCGCTTAGTAATCCGACTGGATGAGCAGAAACGAGTTCGGGACATTACCTGTGCTACACGTTTACAGTCTCTCCAGTCGCTACGAATTTCTCCGCTTTTTCGGCCCACAACTCCACTTTTCGTAACGGTTTTTTTTTTTCCTCGGTGACGGAGGATGGGGTGGGGTGGGATGAGGGCGGGTGGGAGAGCGGCCCTAGAAAGCTCTTCGTCACAATCGGCGGGGAGTCGCATCTCACCTTTTCGCGGTGCTACGACAACGTCAGGGTTCTCCGTAAACGGTTGGCCGAGACTCTTGGGGAGCGAGACCACGTGGGCGTTGATCCTCTCCTTCTTCTTCAAGTTCATCTTTGGCTCGTATTATAGCCAAATAGCCGAACCATCTCGTCTCCGTACCTCCGTGGCGCCCCGCTGGCGCTCTCCGTCGTTCACGCGCGATCGCCGCTTATCTTGGCACGTTTGTTCGCCCGAGGATAAATGCACTGGCTACCGGAGCCCGGCGTCTGCTCGTAGCCGAGGCCTCGAGAACTCGCAACATTTCTTCGGCAGCTTTTCCTCGTTATCGTTACGGGCACGAGCCAAGCGCACGATGATCGAACGAGGTACCTCCGTTAGCCTCGCGAGAGCTTCTGCACCTTGTGTTCTCATACCACCTGGCTCCACCCACGCCGTCACCCTCCCCCTTTCACGAGCGGCGATTTGCTTGGCAATGCTCGGGCCGATTTTTCTTCTCGCTTGCCTCTCAACTATCCGCTCCCAGCGATGCTCTCGTCGAGTCCCATTCGAGGAAAGCTCGTGCTGGAGCTTTAAGGGGTTGCTAAATCGCCGGCACGAACGTAAACTTCGCTCCACGTTGCTAGTCTTACACCGTGGCTGCAGCCGATGCATCGATCGCACAGTCCTGGTACGGGCGGGCGGCAGGCTATCGTCAAGGCCATCTTGACGTGAGCGCGATGCCTCGCATCTTCTCTCGTGGCTTCTTCTTACGTGTCAGAGCGTTCTCCAGGCGGTTCGGATATTCGGCCGTGTCCGCGAATCACTCGCCGGCTCTCTCCTTCCACTCGCCTAATATTTCGCACATAAATGGTAGTAGCGCGACGTGCCATCGTTTCGCGTGACCGGATGATCGTGAGAGTGACCGTGACGTTATATCTCCCCCCATGCATCTCTTCGACTCTTGGATCTTCGGAGAACTAGGACGACGGGATCGAAATTGGGAATCGAATTCTTCGCTTCGTTTCACGTGGGTGGGGGGGAGGGGACCTCCTCCTGTATTCTCCACGGCACCTTACACGTCGTTTTATTATTATTATTATTATTATTATTATTGTTGTTGTTGTTATTATTATTATTATTATTGTTCTTGTTGTTGTCGTCGTCGTCGTCGTCGTCGTCGTCGTCGTCGTCGTCGTCGTCGTCGTCGTCGTCGTCGTCGTCGTCGTCGTCGTCGTCGTCGTCGTCGTCGTCGTCGTTGTCGTTGTTGTTGTTGCTGCTGCTGCTGTTGTTGTTGTTGTTGTTGCTATTGTTAAAGCTGCTGTTGTTTTTTCTTATTGTTATTGTTGTTGTTGTTGTTGTTGTTGTTGTTGTTGTAGCTAACTTTGATTTATTGTCTTTTTGTTATGGAATATTTTACGCCGTGGCTGTTCAAAAGTCACTGTACCAGCGTTTTTGAAGCACGAAGTTCGAAAAGGCTCTCACTCGGTCGATGGCAAGACATCTAGTCCTTTAAGATGCGCGAATTTCTGCGGTCAGGCCCCGGGAGATTTCTCCCTTTTTTTCACTGGCGCTGGTCAGGTCCACTGGCTCGACTCGGCCTTACACAAGTCGTTCATCGGACAAACCAACACCACCGCCGGGGCCTTACACGCACACGCCGCGTATGGCAAATACGAAGTTTCGCTCCGTCGGCATTTTGTTTAAGCGTTCGGGGGGCTTCACGCCATCGCCTTACGCGACGACGACGTACGCCCGATGGCCTGCCTCGTCGTTGCATTTTTAAATTGTAAGCGACTTTCGAAAAATTCGGCCATCCAGGATATTGCTTATCTCTAATTCGAAGAAGCCGCTGCTGCTCGATCGCCGATGGTCGATGAGGTAAAATGCGATCGATCGGTCATTTACTGAGCGGGACGCCCATATCAATCGGAATTGAGTTTTAACGATGGAGATGGCCCCGTACATCGCCGCATTCTACATTATTAAAAAGTTACCGTTTTATGAAACGAAAGAGGAACCAACCAAACACACGCGTACACGACATTCTTACCAGCTAGTTTATTACAATCGACACCGACTTTTACAATGAAACAAATACCGAATTCTTTCACCTCAATTTTTTTTTAATGTCTGTGCATTAATTAATTAATGAGTTAATGATTAACGTTAATGCTACTTTTTGCATAAATTGACAAATTTAATAAGCGTACTTATGCGGTGAAATTGGTAAAATTACCAATTTACGAATTCACCAACGAAATTATTCGTTAATTCTAGAAAAATGTAAGCCGTGTTTTTTTTTCTTTTATCTTTTTTTTCTTTTTAAGTATTCCCTTAAAAGCCTATTATACTTTATTAGTGAAAATAACAAATATTTCAAAAAAAATACTTTCAAAACATTGCCCCCGCATCTATAAATAAGCTGTTATAATAATTGCGCAACTATTTAAAGATTTGTTGGCATAGGAAGGTGACGCACACGCACACGCACACACACACACACACATTCACTCACTGACATATAGAGATGGTAAATAAAAATTACAATGATACGCTTTTCGATGTCACTTAAAGAAAGAACTGTACTTGTTCGTGTAACGGCGTTAAGAAACAAGTCTGCCTCACGAACAACCGTATATGGATAATTAGCTTTTATACGCAAATTATCGCTTGGTTTGGTCGCTTGTGAGATGTATCGCTGAGGGGGCGCAGCCATCTAGTGAGTAGCATAGTTACTACTCCGCGTTTAAATTTAATATGCAATCCTGCCTCGTACACACTCAATTACATTAGATGGTTATTAAATGAAATTAACCAGGCCCCTAATGGTTCATTATTATGAAAATAATTATCAATGCGAGTTGCAATCTGTGGTCGGTTAAAATTTTACATGCGTTGCGGTTATAATTTTCGTCAATGTTTGTCGAAGCGAACGCACGTGCGACGACTACTCGGCGCTCAAGTTATCGTAATATGAAGAATCGGAAGTGCGAGATACCGGCAAATCGCACAATTCTGACAGTAGTTGAGAGTGATAAGGTGCACTTATCATTGTGGCGTTTAACGCCTTAAAAAATCACATGCATAACCGGATGTAGCTAATACAAAATGTATTTATTACTCGTTCAATTAATGAAGATAATAATTGATGATCATACAATAGGAAAATATGACGTGACGAAAGTCCACTTTACTTTCATTACATTAGTATACGATATTACTCCATCTTCCTTCCGTATTGCATATAATTGGCAATGCATTTTGTAATTAATATATCAATATATTTACAGATTATTTGTTTTATTGCATATTATGTTAAATTTAAAAAAAAATTGAGATAAGTATAGTGACAACAACAATAACGAAGTGTTGGTATACAATATTTTATTATATTATAAAAATATATACTCTATTTTTATTTATCTTGTCATTTTATTGTTTGGTCGCTAAACGCCATCGTAAAAAGACGAAATAATAAATAGAGTAGCGACAAAGATAAATGTTCAATAACGACGTTCCATAAGTTTTATCGATTTAGATGTCAATTGTTTTGAATTTTGAGGTTATTTATATAAATTGTCTATACAATAATGAATAAGGGATCAGAAAAAAACAAAAGTGACTTTCCATCTGGAAAAGAATCTCTTAAAGATTTATTAGAAGCTATTGAAAATATAGAGGTAATCAAAGTTTTGTTTAATTATTTGTATTGTTTCAAATTGCTTGTATCGCTACATCTCCTCATTTACTATAGATGTCAACACGTTATACAAACCAGAATAAACGTGAAAGTAGAAAACAATTCAGATTGACAAGGTGCATAGCTATGGATTGTGAAATGGTTGGCATTGGAGATGGCAAAGAAAGTATGATCGCTAGAGTGTCTATTGTAAATGACTGTGGTGTTTGTATTTACGACAAATATGTAAAGCCGATGGTAACTGTAAAAAATTATCGTACCCCTGTTAGTGGCATTAGACCTCATCACTTAAAAAATGGCGAAGATTTTGAAATTGTGCATAAAGAAGTAGGGGACATTCTTAGAGGTAGAATATTAGTTGGACACGCACTCCACAACGACTTGTACGTTTTATTCCTGTTTCATCCAAAGCATCTGCAACGGGACACGGCGAAATACTTTCGTAAGCTTACCAAAGGTTCCACTCCAAGTTTAAAGAGACTAGCAACAGAATTCCTCGACCTTGATATACAAAACGGAGAACATAATTCCATCGAAGATGCCAGGACAGCTATGCAACTGTATAAACTGTTTAAAACAAGATGGGAAAATGACTTGAAAAAATAATTATAAACCTGTTTCGTTCTTATATTTAAGAGAAATTTTATTCTATTTAAAATTGTACATGTTATCAGAGATATATTAATTTAAGTATTTTTTATATTTGTAAGTGAGATAAATATTAAATTTGAATTAAAAATCAAGTGATTATATTTTTTAGTTAAATATAAATTTTCATAAAATTTGAATTAAGCACTAAGTAATTAGATCGTCTGTCGATACTTTCTTTTTTTATTGCTTCAATTTCATAATAACAATAATGAAAATTGATTGATTGTGAAAGGAAAGAATGTTTGTCATCCCTTACTCTTTGGATGCATATTTGTAATAAAAATCTCACCATTTAGTAATACAATTGAAAATTAAGTTTCAGAAAATAATTTAAATAAAGATGGTACTTAAATTTTATGTAAGCTAAGAGAAACTGATCGTTCCTAAATACTTGTAATAAAATATTAGAAATTAATTTTATTCTAAATAATATTTAAAGTTCATCAATAAAATCATAATTATTCATTATAATTAAACAATAGCGTTATACAATTTGAGCATTACATTCGCGTTTATAAATTATTATTTCGAATGAGAATGTAAATATTTAATTGATGTATTAACGATCAAGATAATTTCTATTTGATATTTTTCGATTATACTGCCGTCTATGGTCCATACATTTAAATAAATTATAGTGATGCAAGTACCTTAATAAAAAAAAAAAAAAAATATTGCACAATTGCATATGCATAAATATACATAATCATAAGATACGAAAAGGTCGTTTTCCATTCGAATTTTCCCGCTTCTTAGTACTGGTTTTGCCGTATGAGATAAAAATTCAGTTTTAAATGTAATTACATCTGTTTTGTATCATACTTTTTTTTATCTTTCTTTTTGTAATTTAACAGGTCATTTGAATCCGATTGCGGAGTTCGTTCATATTAATAATGTGCTTATTCGTTGCAAAATGCATAAAACTGTATTTAAATTACAAATTTGTAAATGAACAAGCATTTATGTCAATTTAAATTTGGAGGTTACTTACATAAAGTGCATATATAACAATGGCGAGTAAACCATCTGAATCCATAAAAAAAGACAAGGACAATGCATATTCTGAAAATATAACAACACAGGCGAAAACGGATGTTTGCACAAAGAAGAACAATGCTAATGTCGGATTACGAGTTCCGGGATCCAACTGGAAAATGTATAAGAATATCGCTACGAAAACATCTCTGAATAACCAACCATCTTCTGGCACTCGAGCTAAGAAAAAAAAAAACAGTTTGATATCTAATACAGAGCCTAATAAACTTGATTTCCAATGTCATGAAAATAAAAATCAGGTAATATCATCATTAATTCACCGTTGTTATTCTTTCTTTTACTATGTTATTATAATTCTTTGTGAACTGGTACAGATATCCAAATGCCGTAAGGAAGAAAATAAACAGGTGACTATCGAACAAGTGAAACTGACAAGGTGCATAGCTATGGATTGTGAAATGGTTGGCATTGGAGATGGCAAAGAAAGTATGATCGCTAGAGTGTCTATTGTAAATGACTGTGGTGTTTGTATTTACGACAAATATGTAAAGCCGATGGTAACTGTAAAAAATTATCGTACCCCTGTTAGTGGCATTAGACCTCATCACTTAAAAAATGGCGAAGATTTTGAAATTGTGCATAAAGAAGTAGGGGACATTCTTAGAGGTAGAATATTAGTTGGACACGCACTCCACAACGACTTGTACGTTTTATTCCTGTTTCATCCAAAGCATCTGCAACGGGACACGGCGAAATACTTTCGTAAGCTTACCAAAGGTTCCACTCCAAGTTTAAAGAGACTAGCAACAGAATTCCTCGACCTTGATATACAAAACGGAGAACATAATTCCATCGAAGATGCCAGGACAGCTATGCAACTGTATAAACTGTTTAAAACAAGATGGGAAAATGACTTGAGAAGAAAATGATATCGATACTTGCGTATTATTTTTAAATACAATTACAGGAAAGATACTTTGTTGAAACTTGTAACAATCTGTGAAAACACAAGTACAATGTTTAAAATATTTTTTTATTGCGAAGTAGTAATAAATATTAAATTTAATTATCAAAACTTATAATATTGCGATTTATCTAACACTGTATAATCGAGTGAAATTAATAAAGAAACGTATAAATAAATTTGAGTACAAACACCTTGTTATCAGCATCACCGCAACCTTGTATGCCACAAGGAAATCAATTATAGATCGCAGCTTAGTATAAAAGTTGGCATTTGGACGACAAATTGTATTAGTGTAGTTAGGGGCCATTCAAAGTAGTTAAACGAGTGTGTACTCGTTACTATTAAACGGTGATAAGGACAGACAAAAATACGACTTCTATCGAACTCGGCAAGTAAATTGAAAATTCCTCTATTTTTTAAATAGAGTAGAAACTTAGAAATAATTTTAATTATTTTTTAATTGGAATTCCGAGGATTTTATATATGTTTATTGTTAATCATTAAATACACGAAAGCTAAATAATTAAATTTTACGAATAATCTTATCTCTTTTGTACAATGTCATTGTAACATTATTTACCATATTTAATAAAGAAGAGTTAATATAAAGAAAAATTTATTCTTATTTATTTTTTTTTTTTTGTTAATGTTGTCTCTTAGATTAATATTAAATTTCGAATAATTAAAATTTTTAAATTTCAATTTTCTTTCGTGTCGTACACTCATACGCACGATGCATAACTTTCTTCAAAATTAATTAATCGTATAATTTTCATATTTTCACATCACTATCGATATAATAAATAAATAAGATTTATTTATTCATTTAGGTATTAATTATGGTGTGAAAAAGTTATTCTATAAAGTCTATTTACTTTTTCATTATATTCATTATGTTACTTTGCAATGGAAAGTATAAAAATTCCATTCAATAAATATTGATTATAAAGATTTTCGTAACGATTTTCTTAAGAACATAAGTCGAAAGAATTACCAGCTGATTTTTTTTCGCAAAAACATTTGAAAATCTGTTCAATTACTCATGTAATTATTGCAATAAAAATACACAAATTACAATGCGTCATTTAAAATAATCTTTTTGTTGTTTTTATTTTCTAACTTAAAACACATGTCTTTACACAGTCCATGCGTGCATTACGTTGTTTTTAAAAAATGAAGCATTAATCCTATTTATTAGGGCGAGGGGGGAAAAAAAAACCAATAAAATAATTAAATATTTAAAGGTGTTGAAATTTGTATTTTCGACGATTTCTTAAAAATATGCAATTATTTATAAAACTACGATATACTTTAATATTATAATATATTGTACCCATTGTCGTTGTTATCATTGCAAGCACAATTTTTCTAAAATCTACTAAATAAATATTCTATTCAAGGCAATGAATAAATTTAATAATTACACGAATTTGTGACCTTAGATGTAAAGTTATTATGTTAATTATTACTTTATTTATTACCCGAGGAAAGTAGCTGTGACTAGAACGACTAAAATGCTTCGAGTAAAGCTAGAGGGAAGGAATTCATTTAGTAAACAGAAATGAGCCAACGTAAAAAGAGAAAAAAAAATGGTTAATTTTATAAGTATATAACAATTGATATTCATATTAGGCTCGACAAGTGTTCAGCCATTATTTCGTTATCGACCTTCTCCTTTAGAGAAACATAGGCAGACTAGATGATTTGTTAAGTGCGTGATGGATGCGCAAGTCAAAGGAAAATTACCGAAAGCAATGTTTTAATTTCATAAGACAGAGAGAAAAACAGGCGCCTATTATTATTCGGGCCGATAAAATGAACGCGCTCGCGGAAGAGTCGCCGAACTGCCATCAGTTTTCATCGTTAATAATCATCCGTCCCGTCCCTCTTATCAGACGCACTTTGACGTAGGAGTCGCGACCGATAATATCGAAGAGGCTGCAGCGGCTATGAGAATCGCGGTGATCGGGGCCGGAGCGGCTGGCCTGGCGGCGATCAGGAGATCCTGCTGCAGCGCCGAGGTCGTCTGCTACGAGAAGAGCGACAAGGTTGGTGGCACGTGGGTCTACGTGCCCGAGACCGGGAACGACGCCTATGGTTTGCCCATACACTCGAGCATGTACGAGAGCCTAAGGTAAGAGTATGGTGAGCGTGTGGGCGAATTGGTAATTGGCTTGGTCGATCGTTCGATATATAATCGATTGCGATTATGAGAATTAATAATTCCGAGGACAATGGTCTTTTGCACCCTCGAGTCAGCGCTATAATCAGCACTTTTGACGCTTTACAATTCATCAAGTTTTACTATGATAAGTGATTGCTGAATATTGCCGCTGAGGGTGTATTCGTAAATCAATGTCGTTTCAATAGAAAAGCTTTACTTTCGATGTTTAAAAATAATTTTTAATTGAAAATTATTCGTTATTTGAATAAAGTTTATGGTTTTTTTTTTTTACTTTTCTTTTTGTTTCTCAATGATTAGCAATATTTCTCAAAACGAATTTTCAAATTTTCAACATTTAAATACAAAATTTGATTTAGATTCACCGTTCTACATAAAATAATTTCCGCCACGACTACACCTGTTTCAATGAACAATTATCTTTTATCATTTGAATTGACGTATTTTTTTTTTTTTTTTTTATCATTTCCATGTAAAGCAATTGTGTATACACGCATGCACAACAAAGCAAGCAAGGCATTTTTTTATTTTTTTTTTAATTTTAAATCAGAGATGCTACAAACTGTTCAACGGGTACGTACAAATGTTTTTATTAAACAGCCGTCAAGAAAGTTGTGCAATAAAAGATAATTTCATTCCAATTCATTTAATTTAAATATTTAATTAATAATTGCCCATACAAAACGCATTATCTCCATAAATTTTTCACGTCTCTCACGAGTACGTCTGCATGTTTGAATGTATTTGTATAAAATAATAACAACTATAACGACAACCACTATAACAATAATAATAATCATTTTAGTAGTAGTAGTAGTAGTAGTAGTAATGATAATATTGTAACATGGAATAATATTATTTTAATCTAATGTGTATAAAATTAAAATAAATAATGTAATAAATTAATCCACAAATTGTGATTATAATACTTTCCAAAGTTCTATACATTTGAGACTAGATTTTAAAAATAAATTTTAATATACATTTGGTCATTAATTCACAAATGAAAGATAAATAATAATATTTATGATATGATGATTCCCTTTGCATTTATCAGAAAAAAAAAAAAAAAAAAAAAAAAAACATGATTCTATTCGGTTTGTGCATTACGAATTTCTTTCCATATATTTTAAGTAATGAAATTTCTATATAATTCAATACAATTAATATAGTTACGATGGTTTTCGTTAACGTTTTAACAGGACAAATCTTCCAAAAGAAGTAATGGGATATCCAGATTATTTGATTCCTGAAAATCGTAAAAGTTACATTCATCACGATGAGATTCTCGCTTTTCTCAACGATTATTGTACACATTTTCAACTTCGTGATAAAATAAAAGTAAGTCTAACACTCAGCCTATATAATCAACATATTTAATAAAATTCCAAAAATGCTTGTTTAATATTCAATATACTTATTATATAATTCCATCCTCATTAATTATGCAAGGATAGAGATTACGAAAATGCTTGGGAAGAAATGCAATATAACGATAATATTTGAAAATACTGTTATAAATTTCTTAATGTTAGCAATACGATTGGATATTGTGCAATTGTGAATCACGAAAAAATATTTGATGAGAAACAAAATTTATTATGGAAATTCAAAAATGATTTAATACTTTGTTAAAATTAACAAACAAAATTGATCAATGAAATATTTTCTCTGTACGATCGATATGTAAGATTCATAAATTGAGGGCGCAATTTTGTCGAATATTAGCATTCTCTTTATAAATAAATAATAGATAGTTAAATATATTTAATAACATAGAGCTTTGATAGAAATTTTTTAATAATTTTATGTAATTATCGTCGTTTTAATATTCACTACATATTGTGAAAATAATATTGATTAGAATTGAAAAATACGTTGCTAATGTTCGTAATAATTACTTGCGAGTTAATAAACACAAGGAAACAAAAGAAAAATACACACGCTAAACAAGTGCAAAGTGTGAGTGCATCGTTATGTACATCATCATCATCATCATCATCATCATCATCATCATCATCATCATCATCATCGAAGTAGAGTAACGAGCGATTTATCATCGAATCCTCTAATGGACGTCGTCGAGTGAAAAAATATACGTTAATGTTCCGCCCCAATAAACGCATCGGCTCCCTATCTCATCAATTAAGCTATAACCTATTTTCGTTAGTCGGAGGGGTCGCGATTACTAATAGATTGAGATATTTATCGCAGTTCTTGCATAATGTCGAGCTGGTGGAGCCGATAGGGGCCGAAGAGAAGGGAACGGGGAGCAATTGGAAGCTGCGCGTCCGCGACTTGCGCAAAAGCACGGTCACGGAGGAGTTCTTTGACGCCGTTATGGTGTGCAACGGACATTATTTCAAGCCGTCCTTACCCAGGCTCAAGGGCCACGAGACATTCAAGGGCCAACAGATGCACAGCCATGATTATCGACGTCCCGAGCCTTTCGCCGACAAGCGCGTCGTCGTCATCGGCGCCGGACCTTCAGGTACTTCGATACTTCAATTCGGCGCGCATCATCTCCTTCGCTGAAATGATCTTGCAGTCTCGATGAAATCTTTAGTAGTATCCGCGAATATTTACGCAGTTAGCGTCTTTAACGATCATCGCGATCAAGTCAAATTTCATTCTTAAAATACAACTTTGCTTAACATTTAGCTTATTATTATTATCTTTCTCTTTTTATCGGCTCTTTTTAATTACACCAATGACATTGCATTACCATATATACTTTAACGCCACTTTACTTTCTAAGATAACAATATTCATACGATCGGTCGAAAAAGTAGTCGTCGAATGGAATAAATACAATGGTTCGCACACTAATTCGTCGGCTTACATTCACCGGGCGTAAAATAATATCTCTATCAACTAGCATTCATTTATATAAATAAATATAAGTGTCAATATATTCTTAAATGTACATTCTTTGCCCGCAGGTATGGATTTAGCCTTGGAAATTTCAAAGAAGGCTAAACGCGTCATTTTAAGTCATCATTTAAAAGAGACGATCTTGACCAAGTTTCCTAATAATGTTGTACAAGTAAGATTTAGGTATATTTTTATTAGAAGCTTGAGTCATTGTATTTGTCGGCGTAAGCTCATTATCGTCATTTTGTCCTTTCAACGTTGTTAATTTTATGTTATAGAAAAAAGATGTTGTCGAGTTGAAGGACAATTCAGCTGTTTTTCAGGATGGGACTAGCGAAGAAGCTGATATAATATTTTATTGCACGGGTAAGAAAGTATTTACATAAATGTCGATGAAAGCACTTGTGTAAGGAAGGAATATTTTTCAAAAAAACTAAATCCTTTTTTTTTTTTTTTTTTTTTTTTTTTTTTTTTTTTTTGAAACAGGCTACGAGTACAGTTTTCCTTTCCTTAGTGAAAGCTGCGAGATTAAAGTCAATGACAACATGATAACGCCTCTGTGGAAGCATGTGATTGCCATTGAAAATCCTACATTGGTTTTCATAGGAATACCGTTTTACGTATGTGCTTTCAGTATGTTTGATTTACAGGTATGAAGGAATTTAATAACTACATTGATATAGATTGTATAATATGTTTTAGCTTTAATCGTGTGCATTGCGACCCTAGAGTATAATATTGTCAAAGCAAATTATATAGATGAATTTATATAAAAATGAGTTTTCATGCTACGAGAGATTCGAATTTCCTGCTCAAACAATAGCCTCGTGATAAATAAAATGCTTTACTATTTTCAAATGACCTTAAGTAAAAAAATATTTCCGATATATCCGTAAAAGTATGTTTTCTCGACTTAATTATGTACAATGAATTAATCAACGCCAAGAAAAAAACACCAGAAAAAGAAAGAAAGTAATTTGGAAAGCTAAGCGCATAAACAAATATAAATTTATAAATACACTTCCTCAAACGCTAATTTAGTTCTGATAAAAATGAGCAATCAGTATGATTAGTCATTTTTGCATTCCTTCATTTAAACGATACAACTACTTTTTCTCTCAGTTAACAAAATAGTGACAAATACAGCCGACGCGACCGTGTCATTATTCACACGTTAAAAGCAATGCTACGAGATTCACGCACGCACACACAGACACACAAGCAGATATTGGTAAAAGTTACGAGAAATTCAATTTCGATAATTTTTTCGTTTCAAGGTGCGATTTGTGCTCCGTTACTTAAATAAAGAGAAGGAGCTGCCAACGCGCGATTCGATGCTCCTCGACGAATCCCAGGAGAAGAACAGTCGATTTAACATCCGCGGCTTCACGAAGCGCCAATTTCACATGATGGGGCCGCTGCAGGCTGAATACTACGACGATCTCGCGGATACTGCGAACATCGAGAGGCTTCTGCCCGTCCTGTCCAAGCTCCACAACGAGAGCAGCGACCGCTTCCTCGACGACTTAGTGCACTATCGCGACGATCGTTACAAAATCATTGACAATGAAAATTACCAGCAACTCAATGATTAAAGATTATGGATGAGCGGGGAAGATTGGCGGTAGACGGGTATCGAGAAGGTGATATTGAAGTTATACGATAAAGCTGAATGTAACGGAGTAATTTTCAGCAAGCGAGCAATTTTTTACGACTACTTGCTCAAATTGGCAGTGAGTAAGTGTGTACGTACTATAACATACGCATACAGCGATTAATTAATATAGAGAATGGTAAAAAAGTTTGTTTATATTCGAGTTCGATATATTTGTTAATTGTACGAGTATATAAGAAATATTTTATTGCGTATAGAACTATTGGGAATCGTGTTCGATCGACAGTTTATTCCGTATGTGAGCATTGATCTATATCTTCAACGTAATCAATGGGTAATATTTGTCAGATTTTCGTTCTATTATGAATAAACCAACTTTACTATCGGTTATCAAGAAAATTGAGGACCCCGCTTAATGCATAATTGAAAATACGTAATAATCGGCTATTGGGTTGGAACGTAAGACTTTGTTATTTGTACTTGAAGAAGTAGGTAAGAAGTTAGTTGAAAGGATAAATAATTGTGAATTGAAAAGCTTCGAGATTATAACTATGGATTGCTTTTAATGATTTCCTTCTCTTTGCGTGCTATCAAAAATTTCTTTACAAAAATCTTATAATTTTAATATTTAACCTAAATTCATATAGGCGAATGCTAAAGGCCATTTAAATCTTCGAATTAATTGAAAATTTGAATAAGAAAAATTTTTCCCCCTTAACAACAACTGCCTTTTTAAAGATGAAGTTTTAACTATATGTAATATATAATTAATGTAACATTGGATAATATAAATAACATTATGTAGAAAAGGTATATTTTATAAATTTATATGATTATGTCAATGATAAATGTTAAATACGTTTTGTCTTTTTTTTTTTTTTACAAAGAATTCGCCTATATGTACTCAATACTTTGTAAATTAAGTACAGACAGGATACTTTCTTTTATCTTAATCACAGCATATTCAATATTATTTCATTATTATGAAAATAAAATATCTATCCGAAAATAACGAATGTCTTATCAACGAGTCTAAGTTTGAAAACATTATAGCTTATTCTTATTAATTCATGTAATTCACATTAACAGACATATTTTAAATTGTCATAATTTTATAAATAATACAATTGCAATCGCTATTCTCTTAAAATTCAATACGCTCGTTTACTCAGATTTACCGATCACTGTATTATTAAGTATGATAGCTTGTAATTGCAATATTCGAAAAAAAAAAAAAAAAAAATAAAAAAATATAATGGCAATGTAAAATAATAAGTGTATAAGGTATTTTATAAATGTAATAAATGTCGTTGAAGTTGTAATTTGTTAGTTTTTGTTAAAATTATTTTTCACACTTGTCTGTAGCATGCAGTGAAATTGAATAAAAATTTTATTAATATTCTTTATTAATATTTATATGCAACATTGCATATTTTTATTTTTACAAACAATATATTTAACAATTAATGCATTATATACACATTGAAAAGAATCGATGCTTTATAATTTCAATAGTAAACGATTGTTTGCTAATTTATTTTCCTACATTGATAACTATAAAAACTTACGAACATTATCGAATGAATTACTCGTAGCTCCAAACCATTTGAAATAAGACCAAACTAATTGCTCGTTCATCGATATTTTCTAACATTAAAAGAATTCGTATTAATGAATTTGTTTTTGTCAATTATTATTTCAATCGGGAGAATAAGAAAATGTCAGGGGATATCATTTTGTCGGATATGTTTGTTCAAAACAAAATATACGGGTACTCTTCGCATAATCTCTTAAATGAGCAAGAACGAATATTTATTTTTCAATTGAAGTTTTATCGGACAACCAAATTTTATAGTTCATAATTTTAATCTTTTATCGTAATAATCTTTTATTGATTATTAAATCAATATTACGCTAAAAAGTAACTAAAAATTAATATTAATATATTTACTTTATCTTATCTTATAATTCTTGAAAATCAAGGTGAAAGTAAATTATTTTCCATTTGAATGGCGTTCCTGCCTACCTAAACGAGCATGTGAATAATTCAATCATATGCTCATCCTAAGAAAATGAAGAAATTTACAAAGATATTATTTTGTCTTTATTGATGTAATTGTGAGCATTTAGTGCTATTACTGGCGCTGCCACAACACAATTGCTAGAATTGTTTGACCTGTTTCAATTTGATAATATGAGACACGATGATGCACATAATAAAACTGCATTTGAACGTCGTCGTGTACGTTGTATTAATTCTTTTAATGATCGCTTATTTTACATCGCAAGAGATGCGGTGTTTTATTTTTCTATGCAATTATTGATTCGTTTGTGTGGTAATAATTTTCATTGCCACAACTCATTGTTTAATTTAATTTTTTTTTTTTTTTTTTTTTTTTTTTTTTTTTTCATAAGTAAGACGACACCGCGATATAAATGAAAAAAAAAAGAGAAATAAGAAAATAAAAATACGAAGAGCGTAATTCTCTTTAAAATTCCATTGAGAACGTTTTAATTACTTGCCAATTTCCAATTAATTTAAAAGTATTCTTAAAATTATGACTCCTCGCCTCTTGCATCATTAACGATCGAACATTTTTTATTAGATTTATTCTGTAAGTTTAATTTCACTTCGCAGCCTCGATTATCAATAAATGAAATCACATAAATTCTAATTACTTTATTTCAGCATTTACTTATTAAACGAAATAACTCTTTCTCATTTCATGATTACTTCTATAACTTTCTTATTTTATTTTTTTTTTAACAAAGTTTTTTAGCCTAAAAAATATTTATACCATATTATAAAGTATATTTTATCGGAGAAAAATTGTATATTCACATTTGCAATATATGGCTACTTATATATTCAAAATTACATAGATTAATTTTTTAAAATTATCAAAATAAAGCATTTGACTACATTTCTATATTCTTCTGTTGAAAAAATAATTGTCTATATATACAATTACAAATTTCCAAATATATATAGAAAAAGAATAGAATACTATTGCCCAGTTAAATTAATTGTAAAACACTTGTATCATAAGAAATGATAATAATAATTATAAGTGAAAATAACATTAACAAAATTCATAAAAATTGTATTGTTTTTGTGTCATTTAACTATTTTTTTTTTTTTTTTTTTTTTTTTTTTTTTTTTTTTTTTTTATTAATATCAATAAAGCAATTACTAAATAATTACGTCAAAAAAAAATATATATATATATAATTTACACACATTTTATAGTTATCGATGTTATATTTGTATATATTACAGAAATAATATTTTTAGATATGTGTACATATTTGAAAATAATAAATAAACATATTTCTAGCAAAAACTTAACTTTGACACAAAAAAAGTACTGACTAATTAAATGAATATTAATAGATAATAATAAAAAGACATAGTGTAGTATGAAAAAAAAAAAAAAAAAATTACAAGAATATCTTAAGAATTTATTTACTCAAATATTTAGTATTACAATTACATTAAATATTTTTAATTGTATTATTTAAAAAAAAAATATATATATATATATATATATATATATATATATAACTAATTGTCATTATATTCCTTTTTTATTCGAGATATTTATTGTGCGCATTTTTAAATACGTATGTACATACTTCATATCAATTATTACAAACAAATGGTAAAGAATTTAATTTATATAATCTAAAAAAAAAGAAAAAAACAGATATAAGAAATGAAAAATACCCAAGAAATATAATTCATTTGATAGAATGCATCACTGCTTAATATAATCAAGATGCATTTCTATTTGTCGTTTAATGTCTATGATTAATTATCTACAAATTAGTATAATATAAAATGCATTGCACGCGCATCATTATCGATGAATAAATAGTTATCGATATTGAGGAAATGGTATTGATATTAAATATAAACGTGCGTATAATTTGAAAATAATTATTTCTTGATATAAACGAAAAAAAAAACAACGCAGTATTTAATTTAATTTACTTAATCTTAACTTAACAAGTAACGACAAAAGTATCTGATGCTATAGCAATTCCTATAATAGTTATGATTTTCCCGTATTTCTTTCAGTGTCGATACAATGTGCACATTCTGTAATTTTCATGTTAATCTAACGAGTTGATGTTATTTTTTTGTTGTTATTATGAATAGATTACATTATATAATAGCATAATTAGTTGGTGAAAAATTAATGTAATAATATATCGAAGAAATATGATAATTGGCAATTAATTTTAAAGTCAGAACAGTTACTATGATCTTTGAAGTTTTCGCTTGTACTCTTTGCTTTCTTAAACTTCTTACGCTTTTCATGTTTTCAAGTGAACTATCCATTAACATAATAACTATAAACAATTACTTATGCTATTAAAGATTCATTAGAAGCTATCAGATGCCTTTCTTATTTTACGTGTTCATGATTGTACATTAAAATATCATTATACATTAAAGAATATACTATGGCTTTTTATATTGCAGTAGCTAACGTTAAATTTAGATTTTATTTTTCTAAATATAATAATTTCATTTCAACAAATAATATAGATGGTGTATTATAAAAGAATAATTATTTTAAAACAAGTTGGATTCTCATTTTATATAAATTTTCAGTGTATGTACGACAATGTGGAGCATGACTTTTAACAAATTGTACGTAATATTAAATTAATTTTATTCGCTTGCTATTACCAATGATTTTAATATTTTCCTGTCTTTATGCACAATTAATTATTTACCAACAATAGAAATTATAAATAAAATTTGTATTTACAACATTTTATTAAATTTCTATTATTTGTAGATATTCTCTTGCAGACAAATAAGTATCAAAATCAATATTAAAATAAAATTTATTTACTCATTTACAATTTTTCAAAAACAATTCTTCATTATAGCATTACATAGATAAAAAAAAAAAAAAAAAAAAAAAAAAATTTAAAAAAAAAAAAAAAAAACTTTAGAACAAAAATTGCATAAAAATCTTATTAAAATCCATAAGACAAATATTAAAAATTTATGTTTTATTAATTATTTGCTTCTTATGTTAGAATCATTGAAATCGAATTCCGTTACTTCGATACATCAATTTTATTATTCACGCATAATATTGAATTTACTCCACGTAAA